TCACCCCGCAGAAGGATGTGCTGTCCTTCCAGTGATCTACCATAACACTTTGCCTATGATTCTCTTTTAACACTTTTGATTTTTTTTTTCTGTGACATAGGGCAATTGCCTTTATCCCACAAACATAAACTCCATGTTCACACACACACACACTTACACACACTCACACCCCATTTTTTTATCAAGTATTAAACATAGATTGATTGAGATATTATSAGCTGGTAGAGAAAGTAGAATTGAATCTCAGCTCCATCTCACTCTGATATTTTCACTATTAACCTCTACCACATCCATTTTTTGCCTTCAGAGCTGCTAGTTTTGCTACCAACACTTTGTTGATTAAAAGAAAACTATTGATATGAATATTGAATACTATTATAGAGAACMGTTTCATTTTGCTACCTATGGATTTCCAGTTTTTCCAACACAATTTGTTGTTGAAGACGTTATCTTTTCTCCAGTGTTATAACTGTATTTATGTGGGTTTGTCTCTGTGTCTTCTATTCTGTACTCTTGGTCTATGTCTCTTTTTTGATGCCAACACCATACTGTTTTTATTATGATGGCTCTGTAGAATAATTTAAGGTCTGATAATTTGATGTCTCCTGCTTCACTCTTCTTGCTAAGGATTTCTTTGGCTATTCTGAGACTCTTATTTTTTCCAAATGAATTTCCTGGCTGCTTTTTCTAGTTCTATGAAGAATATCATTGGAACTGCATGAAATCTGTACAATGCTTTTGGTAGCATGGCCATTTTGACAATGATAATTGTGCCTATCCAAGAGCATGGGAGATCTTTCTATCTTCTGAGAATTTTTTCAATTTCTTTCTTTAGTGTTCTATAGTTTTCATTGTAGAAGTCTTTCACCTCTTTTGTAAGATTGATTCCCAAACATTTTATTTATTTAATTTATTCTTTTAATTTTTTTCTTCTAATTGATCTGGCAAGAGATTCAAGGATGTTATTGAATAAAAGTGGTATAAGAGGGCATCCTTGTTTTGTTCCCATTTTTAGAAGCATGCTTTTAATTTTTCTCCATTTAGAATATTATTAAAATCTTTATCCTTGTTATACTTTTATTTTTATGAAAAGTTTTTAATTCATGAAAAAGAATCAGATCATTTTAAACTCAAAATGTATTGATCTACTATTTGTGCAAAGTGATAGTATGGATGTTGTATAAATAATTCTCTTTTATTGATGAGGAAACTGAAGTACAGAGATCTTAAGTAATCCATATAAAACAGTTATTTATGGGATTGGTACTAAAAGTAAGATGATTGAATTGATAACCACTTTTATCTTACCACTATAAGTTTATACAAGTATTTCTACTAACAATTCTATGGGGGAATAAAACATCTGGTGTTTATTATRTCACACTGATAGAATAAATACAGCTATCCATAAATATGAATAGGTATCTTATAAATGAAGGAAAATACAAAGAAGTAATGTTTATTCAGCATTTCTATGTGGCAGATATCTTATGTAGATTTAAGTATAACTTTAAAAAAATTTTAAAATTAAGCATTTGTTATTCCCCCTTAGTGAAAGAAGAAACTGTGACTTAGATCAAGTAACTTTCCAAGAGTCACACAGCTATAACCTGAAAGTTTTCCATAGAAAGTACAACTTTTGGATGATTTTTTAACATTTTTTTTATTTTATAGTTTTATTTTTTGATCAGTTTGTTGACTTGTTGAGCTTAGGTTTATCATTTTTAAATGTGGTATAACACTTATCTCTTACGGTGTTGTAACAAATTTATGAGATTTAAGGTACTTGGTTTATTGAATAATTAAAGCAGCAAAYGCTGAAGAAGAAGAAGAAGAAGAAGAAGAAGAAGAAGAAGAAGAAGAAGAAGAAGAAGAAGGAGGGGGAGGGGGAGGGGGAGRGGGAGGGGGAGAGGGGGATAGGGGAAAAGAGTTCCTCAGCAACAATCTTTATAAAGATTTAGAAAGAGGATTCAAAGACCTTCCTATTCCAAAGCAACTACTTTTTCAATTACATACACTTGGCTTGTAGTAATGGGATGGGAAAGCCCCATTCTATTTCACATGGCTTGTATGATTTACATTTTTGGTTGCAAAATAGTCCAAAGGCTAGAACTATAAACTGTTTTTGAATTGCAAACTTCATATTTGCTAATTAGCCACAGGCTGTTGGTCCCCACAAAGTGTGCTATCAAGGATATGATCTAGAAATTCATGATGTGACTGAGTGTAACAAGTCTATTACCACAGGTATACATTGGCACCATTAGAAAGGTCTGGCAAGTTTTTCATTTATTTTGTGTATTTATACATGACAGTAGAAAGTATTCTGACATATCATATGTAGATGGGGTAAAAGTTCCCATGTTTGTGGTTGTATATGAAGTGAAATTACACTGGTTATGGAATCACATATGAACATAGGAATGCTATGTCAGATTCATTCTACTGTCTTTCCCTTTCCTATCCACGCCCCAGTTCCCTCAGTACCAAAGGTAATAACAAAGAAAGGAAATTGACCAAAAAATTTCCACACATAGATGGAATATTAATATGTGCACAAAACACAAGATATATATTTTTTTTATTAACAGATACAGAAAGTYACCTATCTGCCAATATCAACTCACCATATTTTGTACATACAAAATTGGAACATTTGTAAGGTTTTTCTTTGGTGTAGTCACTTGAGTTTTCTTTTAAAGTTAATAATTTCAAAAACCAATTAAAATATACCTGATCCTCAAGAGTGTAAACTAAATTGATGCTTTGAGGAGCTAGATTCTCCTTTGAGGTCCAATTCTTAGCAAACATTCATATACACAGCTTGGTATGAATGTTCAGGAAATYTTGAGCACATATACAGAAACAAGCCATCATGTTCAGTAATTTAGGAGGAAGAAAATAGGAGTAGATAATTTTGTATATTTTGTGTAGTATAAACAAAACAATTCCAATGGGACGTCTGCTGTGTTCTTCTCTAAACATTGAGATGAGGCCATCTAATGAGAATGTGGGGCAGGTGGAGCTTACAGGACAGGAGATGATGGAGKGAAGAGAACAGTGCGGTCAGCTGCAGCAGTGGAAGTTCTGGTCAGGGCTGAGGGTCCTGCAGAGGGTAGAGCTTACAGATTTCTACTGGAAGGAGGCTGACCTATTGAGTTAATGTCATCAACATGCTAGGATTCACAGACATTTGTGAGAAACTGGATCACTTATATAGTTAATGAGTCAGAAAGCTGGCGATTTAAGAGGAATTTTGAAAAATAGAACAGAGCCTAGTTGAACAGTTTGGGATAATGTATTTGTTAGAGCAGAAAGAATTTAGAGATACTTTTTCTTTTTGCACAGAGTACCCAGTTTTTCCAATCAAATTTCTCAAAGTGTAGTCTCACACCAAACCATATGAGGCAGATCAGCTTTGTTACATACAAACAATATGTTTTTCTGTAAGAAATTAATCAATAAAATCAATAGCAAAAAGTGAATTTTTAGACCACAATTATAAAATGTGAATATTTTCSATTTATTTTCTTTTTAAAATTGAAGTGGAAAGATTTACCTAAAATGTTCTCTCATTCAGATTTTTTCTATAAATAAAAATGTGCAAATTTTAAAAATAGAATCTTAGGTATAAAAATTTCTGTGAACTGAAAGAACAAATTGTTAATTAATGTGTCTAATTTTCCAAGTGTAAATATGAACCTCCTCTCATCTGGAAAGCAGGACAACAGTGTAAAGTTTGTCTTTAAAAGGAATTTTCTGTTGATGTATTGAGCTTCTATTTATCCATTTTCTGATTGTTACATATTACTATCAAACATTATAATAAATCATAAAATTTACAAAAAAGATTTTCTTAGAACCAAATAGGACTGGTTCAATATTAACAGAATGGTAATACAAGTATAGTTAATTGTGTATTTCAGATCTGAAAGGACAATGTACTCATTTGTTTTCTAGGCACCACACAATCCTAAATTCTTTTTTTTTTTTTAGAATTCAAAATTATATCTTTTTTTAATTTCTTACATACATGACAATAGTGGAATGCATTACATTCATAATTATCCATTCACAGCACAATTTTTGTAACTCTGTATATAAATATGTTCACGCCAAATTATGCCATTATAYATGAGCTCTCTTATTTTTTTGAATTACAATTCTTAATACACCTTTATGCCACAATTTATCATATCTGTTTGTATACAAATTCTTATTAAGAATGCAGTGTTAATTCATTTGCACAGCAATGTTTAAACCTCAGGTGGATATTTTGCAAGGTTAGTACAATGTTCCCRTTATTGCTGTGGTTCAGATTTTATCTGATGTGCCTTTCATGGTTCAAGCATTTACTCTTCCAACTTTTTCCAGTTGTTTTGTTAACTGAGAGTTCATATCTGACTTTGGCTGTTAGAATTTCCTCATAAAGGAACTGTCTTGCACAAGATTATACATCCTCCTACTTGGTAATTCACTTCCCAAACTGAGCATGTAGAGTTAAAGTTTTGCCCAGTTCTGAAGAGCCAACTCAGCTCCAGCACTCATTACTGAGTGCCTGAGCCCTCTTTTGTAGGTCATCACAATTCATCTTCTTTTGTCCATCCTCCTTCCCTCCCAGTACACATTTTGTTGCTGAGAATGCTCTTCAATAAACTTCCTGCATACAAATGTCTGCCTTACAATCTGTTTGCCTTGAATCCAAACAAAACTACGAATGCATATATGACAAATCCAAGACTTAGAAAGCTGAATATTGAAACTGAAACATGGACKCATGTCAGCCCTATCCAAGGGATTGATACTTTTGCCATCCTCCAACATGATGATGAATCTGATGGGCCTGTGTAGACACACTGAAGATTCTAGGAGATTAACAAGTATCTCTCATTTTATATCATCTACTTGAATATAGAGAAAGAGCTTAAATAATTATCTAATAAAATTCATATGAAATATATATATATCTTTTACATAACAAGAGGGTAGGTGACATGGCCTTAGTGTAGGTGTTTCTGTAAGATCTTTCTCAGGGCCTCTTTCACATCTTTATTTTTCAGACTGTAGATGAGGGGGTTCAGCATGGGGATGACCACTGTATAAAACACAGAGACAACCTTGTCCTGCTCCATTGAGTAGCTYGATGTRGGTCGCAGATACATGAAGAGAATGGTCCCAAAGAAAATGGTGACCGCCACAAGGTGGGAGGCACAGGTGGAAAAGGCCTTGCGCCTTCCCTCTACTGATCGCATCTTCAGGATGGCAATGAGGATGCACAGGTAGGAAATGAGGACAATCACAACACAGCTGATGACWTKAAAACTRGAGAAAGCCATGATCACAATGCCATTGATRTGGRTGTCCGAACATGACAGTTTGAGCAGRGGTGGGGTGTCACAGTAGAAGTGGTTGATCCTATTAGAGCCACAAAAGGACAACCTGAAAGTCATGCCTGTGTGGATGGCTGCATTTCCAAAGCCTGCAAGGAAGCA